GGCGCGGCCCCTTTGAAACGCTGCAGTGGCATTTCAAAGGGGCAGCGCTGAAGAGCCTGGGGTCAGATGGGGAGTCCCCAGCTGACCCAGGGCTCCGTGCAGCACTAAGCCTGGGATCAGCTGTGCGGCGCTGCCCCTTTGAAACGCTGCAGTGGCGTTTCAAAGAGGCAGCGCTGAGTGGAGCCCAGAGTCAGCTGGGGAGTCCTCAGCTGATCCCAGGCTCCGTGCAGTGCTGCCCCTTTGAAATGCTGTAGTGGTGATTCAAAGGGGCAGCGCTGCCCTATTGACTAATCGAATAGGCGATGCAAAAATGCATCGACTATTCGATTAGAGAAATACACACTACTTAACATCCTTAGCGTGGGCTGGCTGGCCAGCCAGGGCTTGGGACAGCTGGGGGTGGGCAGCCGGGGGCACCTCTAGATATGGTGGGCCCCCCCTCAGGGCCCCCGCAGGCAAAGGAGGCAGAAGCAGTGGGGTGGGGCCAGGCAGAAGAGACGAGGCTGAGGACTAGCCTCCCTGAAGGGGGGAGGGGTCTCGAGCTGCCCATCACCGTAGCGGTACTACCTATGAAAAGATGCAAAGCACAGATCCGAACCCACTTTCACTCTTCACACAGAGAGCCGGGAACTTCATCTGTGTGGCCTCCCCACGCGTCCTCTACCGTGTCAGGCCCAGCGGCCCTGCTTTGCGTTAGGGTTCTGGCTCTGCCAGCGCTCCAGTGCAGGTTAGGTTAAATCAGCTCCTCATCGCAGTCTGCTCACTGCAGCGTATTTGGGATCCAACAGCCAGTCACTGCAATATTTTATAGGTCTAAAACCTTGCAATGTATAAAATGTTGTCTGTGCAGCAAAGAAATATTATATACTTTAGAATTACAAAGATAACTTTACAAACTTCATTAAAATCAAAACTCTGCATCAGAATGGTAAATCTATTAAAAATAATCCAACTCAACAGGAAGTCAAAGCTAACAACTAGATCAGGAGGAGTAATAGAGCAAAAAGACACTCTTATTTTGAAATATTCTAAACAAATCAAATAACTACACTATCAGGGTATGTCTACACTCCCCTGCTAGTTCGAACTAGCGGGGTAATGTATGCATACCGAACTTGCTAATGAAGCCCGGGATTTGAATTTCCGGGCTTCATTAGCATAAAGCCGGCTTTTAAAAATGGCGGCGCTGGCTTTATGCTAATGAAACCAGGGAAATTCAAATCCCGGGCTTCATTAGCAAGTTCGGTATGCATACATTACCCCCCTAGTTCGAATTAGGGGGGTAGTGTAGACATACCCCTAGGGACTTCTAGTTCTCTGCTTTGCCCTCTAGAGACTCATGTGAAGAGTAAAAAAATATTTTGCCTTCCAAGATTGCAGAGAAATACAGTCCATGGAACAGCTTTGGCCTACAAACTAAACATGTATCCTTTTGTGTTCGACTAGGATAAGTCATGTTGAGTAAAGGCTACCACAGATTGGCTGTGAGATATGAATTTCCAGTATAAATGTGATCTGTTCTATTCAAAGAAATCGTTTGTAGCAGCAGATTTATCATTTCCACACAATGAATGGTTGGGGACTGACTAGCTAAGAGGCAGTTCAACAGACAAGGACCTGGGGATGACAGTGGATGAGAAGCTGGACATGAGTTATCAGGGAGCCCCTGTAGCCAAGAAGGCGAATGGCATATTAGGGGGCATTAGGAGGAGCATTGCCAGCAGATCCAGAGGAGCGATTATTCCCCTTTATTCGGCTCCAGTAAGCCTAGATCTGGAGTATTGTGTCCAGTTCTGGGCCCCCCACTGTAGAAAGGACGTGTCTGCATTGGAGAGAGTCCAGCGGAGGGCAACTAAAATGATGAGGGGGCTGTGACATGTGACTTATGAGAGGCTGAGTGATTTGGGCTTATTTAGTCTACAGAAGAGAAGAGTGTGTGACATCTACAAGTATAGATGCAGATATCCGCAGCTCATTTTTTCAGATGTGGATACAAATACTGTATCTGAAACCTTTAAATTTGTGGATGTCCGCTTTATATCTGAGGGTATCTGCAGCTCATTTTTGTGGATATGGATGCAGATTAGGGATGAAAAAGAGAAGCTGGAGAGAGGCTGTTCTCAGGGGTGGCAGATGGCAGAACGAGGAGCGATGGGCTTCAAGCTGCTGTGGGGGAGGTCTAGGCTGGAGATTAGGACAAAATCTTTCCTTAGGAAGGTGGGGAAACCCTGGGATGGGTTCCCTGGGGGTGGGGCGAATCTCCATCCCTAGAGGTTTTTAAGTCCCGGTTTGACAGGGCCCTGGCTGGGCTGATTGAGTTGGGGTTGGTCCTGCCTTGGGCAGGGGGCTGGACTTGATGCCTCCCCCCTCGGACTGTATGACTCTGTGGTTGTTGCTGCTGTTAGAATTTAAATATCTTTGAATGGCCAAAGCTCCGGAAGGGGGGAGGGAGAGAGCAAAAGGCTAGTTTGCTTTGTGTCACCTGTTTGCAGGCCCACCGATGTGTGTGGGTGGGGAGGGGGGAGCAGAAGGGGCCTGGTGTTTCAAAAGGGCCCTTTAAATCGCCACTGGAGCGCCACGCTCTGGGCTACTGCGAGGTCTGGCGTGGCACGTTCTGGGGGCGCTGAGGGCTGGCTTCCCAACCCTTCCTCTTCCACCCAAGGCCACGCTCCTGTAGGAAATGCGGAGTCAGCCCCCCCTGCACTTGCCCAGAGGCCTGACTCCTGAGTGAAGCCGTGACCCTGCACACCAGGTTGCAGTAGCACTCACTGAAGCTTGGCCCCTTTGCCACAATGGTAGGTTGCTGGGGCCTAACGTGAGTGCCCAGCAGCCCTGGGCCAGGTCACAATGGCTGAAGCGGGAAGCCAGCCCAGCCCTGGGGGGTGAGCGTGGGGTGGACTCGCTCTCCGGGTTGCCACACACTCACTGAAATGTGACCCTTGTGTCAATGGCCATATCTGAGTGGCACTGTGACCCCGCATGCCAGGTCATAATGCCACTCTGAAATGTGGCCTGGTGGCCCCTCAGTGGTCATTTTTTGAGGTGTTTGCCCCAGGTCCTTAAAAGCAGCTTATGTGGCCCTGCACATGACAGATTAAATGTCTTTTCCCTGCATTTATTTTCTTTAACCAACTAACTAGGCAGACATCTTCCACCCAAGGCCAAGACTCTCTTCTGAGGGGACACAGTGAACCATCTGTTGCCTGACATGACAGCCCAGGAGGTATCAAGACATTGGGGTGGTTGTCGAGGATCACCCAGGTCTCTGACTGCTACCCCATGCTGCTCATCTGTGAGGGCACTAATGATACTGCCAGGTGTGACCCTGAGCAGAGCAAACATGACTACACGGCTCTGAGGGACTGTGGGTGAGGGAGTGCAGGTGCTGATGGTGTTCTCTTCTGGTTTTCCAGTCAAAGATAAGGGCCCAGGCAAAGACAGATGCATCCTGGAGGTCAGTGCCTGGCTGCGAAGATCATCCCACCAGAAGGGTTTGGCCTCCTTGACCACAGGATGCTGTTCCATGAAGAAGGGTTGCTAAGCAGAGACGGGGTCCACCTATCAAGGGAGGGGAAGAGAATATTTGGATACAGACTAACCTAATGACAACAGCTTTAAACAAGGTTCAACGAGGGCCACCAAAGCCTACAGGTAAGTGAAAAACATGGAGACCTGCGAGATGGCTCAGAAATGGGAGGGAGCATGGGCTATAATAGCAGAGATAAAGAAGGGACAAGGCAGAACTGGGGGGGGGGGCAAAATCAAATCAGTATCTTAGTTGTCTGTGTTTAAATACAAGGAGTATGGGGAATAAGCAGGAAGAACTTGAAATGCTAGTAAATAAACGCAACTATGACATGGTTGGTATCACAGAGACTTGGTAGGATAATACATGACTGGAATATTGATACAGAAAGGCACAGCTTGCTCAGGAAGGATAGGCAGGAAAGAAGGGAGGAGTTGCTGCCTTCTATATTAAAAACGTATGTATTGGGACTGAGGTTGAGATGGACATAGGAGACAGAAAAGGGTAAAAGACAAGGGGGATGGCATGGTAGGGGGTCTATCAAGACCACTTAACCAGGAAGACGGAGAGGAGGGTTTTTTTTCAAACAACTAACAAAATCATCCAAAGCGCAAGACTTGGTGGTGATGAGGGACTTCAGCTATTCAGCCAGCTGTTGGGAAACTAACACAGCAGGGCACAGATTATCCAATCAGTGCTTGGAATGTAGAGAAAGCTACTAGGGGTGGCTGTGGTAGATTTGATTTTAGCAAATAGGGGACATTGCCGGCTGTTCCCCTTCGTGAGGGAGCCGGGGAAAGTGCTGCCTTCCTCACTCTGGCTGGGGAACGCAGGGAGCAGATGCTCCTGGACCTGCCCTGGCCGGAGGACGTGCTCTCCTCCCCCAGCTTCTCACCTGGCCCCAAGCTGCTGCGGTGAAAGAGGGCCGGGGTTGTCCTCTCTCCCCAGGGCAGCCTGCAGACCGACCCCCTCCTCCCCAGCCCCGCCCCAGAGCAATGATTGAAATGAAGAAAAACAAAACAATGAGGCTGTGTCTACACTGGCAAGTTATTCCGGAAAATCAGCCGCTTTTCCGGAAAAACTTGCCAGCTGTCTACACCGGCCACTTGAATTTCCGGAAAAGCACTGATGATCTAATGTAAAATCATCAGTGCTTTTCCGAAAAAACTATGCTGCTCCTGTTCGGGCAAAAGTCTTTTTCCGGAAAACTGTTCACAGTAGTGTTTTCCACAAAAAAGCCCCGATCGCGAAAATGACGATCGGGGCTTTTTTGCGGAAAAGCGCGTCTAGATTGGCCAAAGAACCAAAATGGCCCTAAAACCTCACTGTCCACAGTAACACTTCCAGGTCCACACCTCTCTGGCATGGCCTCGGCCCCGTGGGGGTTGACAGGAGAATTTCAGGGCCAAAGGAGCTGGCTTCATGGGCCCTTTCGTGTTGGCAGCTCTGGAGTAAAGGGACCACTAGGAAGTAACAAATTGAGCCCCGATTAAATGACTTGTGTTTTCTGAACCTCCCATGTGGTGCTGGAGGTAAGAACCTTTTTGGTTTTACTTGCTGGTCTAGTCACTTGACATATTCAAGAAAGGTATCCCAAAGACTCCCAAGTTCACACCCAAATTGCTCTGACCCTCCGGAGATACCTCTTGTGACAAGCAGGATGACGAACTCCCCATCACAATAGGCCCGCTGACCTCAGGCTAGATTTTAACTCTAACACCGCTGAGTAACTCCACTGAAGTCCATAAAATGCGAGTAAAAGGAGGATGAAGACACTGATCTGGAGTTGACTTGGCAGCCCAGAGATGAGGGATTCCAGGTTCCATTATCAATTCTCCATGGTACCCAGTTGTTTAGCAAATAAGGTAATCGTCACTTGGCTTCCCTCACCTTGGCATGCTCCCTGGAGCACTGTGATCCTTAAACGCTGTTCCTCGTAGTGTAACAGGTCCATGAAACCTCAGGCAGACACTAGAGGAGCTTCAGCACCAAATGGCTACTGTCTTCCTCCTGCCAGGGTTTCAGGTTTAAAACAAAAAGTAGTTCTTTACACAACCTGTGGAACTCCTTGCCAAAGGATGTTGTGAAGGCCAGGGCTTTAACAGGGTTTGAAAAAGAACTAGATAAATTAATGAAGGATAGGTCCATCAATGGCCATTAGCCAGGCTGGGCAGGGATGGTGTCCCTGGCCTCTGTTTGTCAGAAGCTGGGAATGGGTGACAGAGGGTGGATCACTTGATGAATCCCTGTTCTGCTCATTCCCTCTGGGGCACCTGGCATTGGCCACTGGGTTTCCAGCTTATATTAACCTTTGGTCTGACCCAGTACAGCAATTCCTATGTTCTTTATGGTTTTCTTTCCTTGCCCCAGCCCTGGAGAAGACCAAGAACCCTTCATACAACCAGCCACATTTTTGTCTCTCACTTGGATTTAGGGCCACGTGAAACAACCAGTGTTTTTCTCTGGCAAGTTTATTTGCAGCTCAGGGTTTTTTGCACGAGTCCAGTTCGCTCGTCCCTCTTGATCTGAATGGATTTGATTAGAAATTCTGCTGATCTAGTACCTCTTCTGCCAGGGAAACGGCGTAAGCCCCATGATGCTAAATCTACATCTGTATTTTAGAAGTGAAATGTTTGTCTGTCCGTCTGTTTGTGCAAGACTTCCTCCGAAATGGGAGCGACTAGGGACACCATCCTTTGTAGGCAGCTTCCTCTTGCCCTGACCCCAAGAGAGGCCAGGGTGGGCTGTGCCAGGCACACAGGAAGTGGTGGGAACGGGGCTTTTCCCCCCCAACATGGAAAGGGAGGGGCAGAGAGAGGAGGGGCGGAGCCTCACACTCATCTCTGGGGCAGTGACGGGGTCAGGATACTGCAGAGTGAGCCCTGGGGACACCGCACCAGCAAGGATGGGGCTCTGCATGTTGCTGGCCAGGCCACTTTCTACATGTAAGGTCCTGTCCCCCCACCCTGCTATGGGGCCTGGAGATCCCCCCCCACCTACAGGGGCCTGCACGCTCCCCTTCCCCTCCATGTGGGTGCATGGAGATTCCCCTCTCTGCTGTAAGCCTCCTACAGGGCCTAGTGATTTCCCCTTCCTCCCCCCGCCACTTCACCTGGAGCGTGGGGGTTCCCTTTGCCCTCCCTCCCCTGCACAGCTCCTCACAGGGCCTAGGAATACTGCCCTCTCCGCCTCACACCACTTCACCCAGGGCCTGGGGATTCCCTCCACCCTCCCTGCACCTCACGGGGCCTGGGCATGCTGTTATACACCAAGGGGCTGCTATAGACCCAGGCCACGTCGGGTAAATCTGCCAGTACTAATATAATACGAAATACCAATACTAATATGAGCCTTATGAGGCCTTACTTGCATCCCCAGGACATGCTCACAGACCCATTACAGATAAGAGTCATGTACAGAGCTGTGTTTTGGTAGAGAAAGAGAGGTGAACCTTTTAGCACTCTGAGCATTGGACATACCCCTGCCTGGAGACCACTGGAAACTCTGCAAGATCTGTCCTCCATCCAGTTTATCGAAATTAAGATTATTGAGTGTGAGAAAACCTGGCTTGAAACCGCAATGGTGTCCCAAGCAACTGAGCAATCTTGCATTATGAATCCTTTAATTTTGGATCAAAAAGAGGTAGCCAGTTTTGTCTGCCTCATACCTAACCATCCATAAAAACAATAGAGTTTTGTTCTCAGTCTTAGCAATTTCCTTAAGAGTCATAAATTTTCTCTGTTCCCAAATTTGTGATTGAATGAGTGAACAAACAATGGGTCCTTATCTGGTAGTTGCATGGAGGCGGGCACCAAACAGACCTCATAATTACATTATTGAGTGATAGCCCTAACTTCTGACTAGTGACTAATGGGCAAACCCCAAACAATTCTCAAAGTTCCAGATGCTTATCCACACGTCTTCGATCAATAAACCAGAGCTGAAACCTAGTGAGAACCTCTTCTTTGATGGCATCTTGACATTTACTTCCTGGTCATTACCAGGAAGTAGTGGAGAGGCACATGAAAATTTTAAAGGGGGCAGACAATTCCTTAAAATAAATGTTTGGGACCTCAGAAATATTTAGCATTTTGTATCAGGTTCTGAGTCTCTTCTTACACAATTCAGACTTGTTTCTTCATCCTTTATTTCTTACCAGTGAAGAAGGCTTTTCTATTTACAGGAAATTAATGAATAAGGATCGTAAAACATAACTAGGGGTGTGTCTACACATCACCTAAAATTTGAAATAAGATACGCAATTCATATTTCAAATGTATTTCAAAATAGCTTATTTTGAAATTTGGCATGTCTACACAGCGCCAAATTTCGAAATAATGCACTATTTTGGGCCCTCTGTTATCCCTCGTGAAACAAGGTTTACCAGGATAGCGAAATAGCACACCCGTTATTTTGAAAAATATTTCAAAATAACAGGCAGCTTGTGTAGAGGTGAGGTAGCTATTTTGGGATACCTTCGTTATCCCAAAATAGCCGTGCAGTGTGAATGTACCCATGAGTCTTTTGCAGAAGTGCAATAAGCATTAAAAAGTTGGTCATATTAAAAAAAACATTTTATTAACTTAGGGTATGTCTACACTGCAGGGCAAAAGTCGAATTAAGCTATGCAACTTCAGCTACGTCAATTCAATTTTTGGCACTGTCTACACGGCAGGAAGTCGAAGGAAGAAAACTCTCCCTTCGACTTCCTTACTCCTTGTGAAATAGGAGTTGGCGTAAGAAGTCCTCCAGCTCGATATTATTTTAAAATAATGGCTTGCTGTGTAGATGTGCGCTTTGTTATTTCGAAATAATGTCAGCCATTGCAAAAGAATGCTGCTGTGTAGATGTACCCTTACAGTAAAGATTTGATAGACATTTAAGCACTTTAGAAACCTCATTAAATTATATAAACCACCATTGAGATCTTCTACCCTAAAATATTAATTTAAAAAACACCTTAATTCAGATCATTATATTATACACCTATGTCAAAGAAATACTAAGTGAATGATTTGAATCTGCTAAGATTTCCCTGTGCAGTCACTTGATTATCATTTTCAATAACATTGTTATTTTGTAGGTATTCAGAGTTTCAAGAGATGGATGATTCT